CTGAAGCATATTGTGTTCCTGATCAAGAGGCTGTCACGGAAGCTGAGGTAATGATACAGAGTTGGATTTCCAGGTTTGGTGTGCTTGTTCAGTTACATTCCGATGAAGGAAGAAATTTCACCTCAGCTGTAATTAAATAAATCCACAAACTACTCGTCATATATAAAAAACCAAGCATCACCATTACATCAGCAATCAGGCAACATGGTTTAATCGAACCATCCTTAACTTCTTGCTGATGGTTTCCAGAAACCACAGGACCAGAACAAGAAGTTACCTCTGTTCTTACTAGCCTGTCACAGTGCTGTCTAAGAGACTAATGGCTATTCCCCATTCCTGATGCTCTTAGTCCGTGACCTTAGTGTGCTTTGTGATTTGTTATTTGGTCACCATGCAGGTTTGTCTTCATCATCTGAGGAACACATGCAAGATCTGCAGGCACAATTTAGCAAATAGGCAGTAATAGGAAACATTAATGTGAATTATATCATTTTGCTTTCAGGAAAATGAAAATGGGGTCGCAAGAGTTTTAACAGTGTTTCAGAAAGAGTGCTAACAAAATCTCATGACAGAAAATGTTTTGCTAAAGGCAATTTTTTGAATTGTATTATCACTATTTATATGTTTGTTTTATCAAAGAAATTTTGCTTTTGGCTTCTGTGCTTAGTTTATGCTTACATTATAAAGTACAGGTCATGTGGTCTCATTTGCACCCTAGCCAGTTTTTGTTTGCATCAGTTATTATGTTGTTGCTCATCCTTTTGATTTAGGACTCTAAACCAAGTCCGAACGATTGTTATGCATCAACAAGTCATAAGCAAACCCTAGTCCTTCATAGAGGCACTGATGATATGAGGGTATATGTCTTCTCCTTTACACTGATGATTGCACTCTTAATGTGTCGAGTCCTAAATCTAAATAAAGCTGTTTTAGCAGATTTGGGGTAGGAGCACTGCAGTGACAATAAAGGGCATTTTGCAGCTTACGATGCATGATCTGGTGGGATCTTCGAAGTGTTTTTAACATTGGTCGGAAACGGAATAGACCTCAGAATCTTGTAATTTGGAGGAAGGGGCAGTGGGCAGTTCACTGTGCTCTCTAGCTAGCAGATCAGCAGTCAGTCCTTCAAGTATTGGGCTGCACTTTTGCTGTCAGTCAAAAGTTGTTGTTTCTATATAGGTCTTAACATTGAAATCCAATTCAATCAATATGGGACAGGCCCACCAGCGACTGAGAGGTAAAATTGCTGAACATTGGTAGACCTGGTTTCTATTCCAGGCAAACAGGCTGGCTGCATGGCCTTTTTCGTGGTTTTCCCCATGCATAATGTGTATACGAGCCAGTTTCCCTTAAAAAGTCCTCAACAAAGGCATCCTTTCCCTTAGGCAGGTAGTTCTAGTGTGCTTTGCCATATTAAATTAAGCCAAACCAATCAAATATGGGACAGTGATTACTGCTGACATAGTCAACTACTTTCGAGGAGCTATATGGAAATATGTCTGCTCTGGTGATGGTCATATCCAGAGCATCAGTAGTATTATGACTGTGGGAAAGATATGTTTGAGTTCCATTGTTAAAAACAGAGCACAGTTATCATTAGTTAAGTTCTCCAAGTCTTGGCCTCTACAATTAGCCGAGGCACCCCCGCCAAGTTAAGTGTTTGACATTGAGATTGCCCAGTAGAAGTGTGAGTCCTTGAATAGCCCCTCCAAAGTATCCAAATCAAAGGTCTGATCATTACATATTTATGATGGAGGAAGATGATACATATTTATGACGTTAATGTAGCAGTTTTTCTTGAAAGGACTTTAATTCCCTGACACTCCAGGCCAGAATTTAGTGTAGTGATGCCACTAAGTCTTTGATAATGAACATCTCTAAACAGAAACATGAGGCCACCACCACTATCTGTAGAAGGCTTGTCCTAACGTACTGTGTTGTAACCATTAGCTCTTAACTGGTGTATTTCTCTTAACCCTTTGTGGCGCACTATACGTTGATGTCGGAATTTCAACAAAAAAAGTTGTATGCAGTCTATTTAGTCCTAAAGGAGTATACAGGTAAAATTTTGTAAAAGATGCACTTACTGTTTTAATTCTGTAGGTGTTCCATGAGGTGGAACACTGCGCCGCCAGAGCTTTTAAAAGTGCGACTAAGCGAGCATTGCAGTGAAGCACGAAAACGAGTAAAAGCGTTTGTATAAGAATGAAAAAACTCTGTATTATGGCTGTATACATGGTTTCCTGGATATACACAATATTCTATTTGGATAAATGAGATAAATATTTATATACACAAGTCGTATATACAAAAATGTTTAAAAATTTTCGGAAAGAGCGCTTCGGAAAGAGTTAGACCTCTCAGCGCCATTTATGGAAAATTAATAATAAAAAAATTAACTACGATTAATATTAACAATAAAGAAAAATAGGCTTATGATATATACATACACGAAAAATATATACACAATTATTGAAAATAAACGGGAATGAGACTAAAAAGCGACAGCAAAAAATTCGCGCAGGTCTAAGTAAAGACGAGCCAAGCTACTAATAAAATTTCCGCCTAAAAAACTAGTCCCAAAAAATTCGAGGTGCCAATATTAGAGCATTCATAACACAAAACACGCCTCACCCCTCAATAGTGCTTTGTTTGACTTCATTCCCCCCCAAAGCAACGGAAACAGAAAACGTAAACAACGGATGTCCTCTCCTAAGCACAGATGCTCTGATTCGTAACAGCATAAGATCACTAAAGGCGCAGTGTTCCCGCTAATGGAACACCTGGTTTTATTCAATGATTTTGCGTATGGTTTTTGTCTGAAAGATTTAAAAAAATATAGAACAGATAATTTGGAGTACAGCCAGCAAAATTATGCCTAATTTTTTTTTTCCAAATAAAATTTTTTATATCATTAAAAAAATAGAGAAAATTACTTGAAAAAAAGTGGATTTTAATAACACATAGTAAATGAAAATTCTGTGTCTCCTTGTGATATGCTGCTATCTACTGTTTAAAAAGAAAAGTTCAAAGTATATTATAAAGACATTTTTATGTATTTACAGTTGAATTTAAAGCTTTCAGAAGCGATTCAATTTGGGTGTTCCATGTAGTGGAACACTGAACTGCAAAGGGTTAACTTTGTCTCCTGAAGAGCAAAGATTGATACTTTGTGTTTATCAACAAATTCTAAAATATTTTCAAGCTTGACCTTAGATGCATAGACCATTGATGTTATACTGTAAAATACGAGGGCCATCCAGGAAGTAGATTACATTTCCGTCTGTGTCCGCTAGGGGCGGGGCTAGCGCGGCCATCTTGGGGTCAGAGCGTTGCGCAGCTCAGTCTGCATCTAGCCGTGCTAGTGAGAGGTTCGTGCTGTGCTCCGTTCAGATACTGTGACGGTTTGAAATGTCTGCGTTAATTGAAAATCCCGCGAGCTGCGATGTGCGCTCAGTAATAAGGTTTCTGACTGCAAAAAACTGGAGGAAATTGGTTTATTGTAGTGCCTCCTGGACTCAAAGGTATTGCCAAACTCTCCAAAAACTCAGAAGAGCAATTCAAAACAAGCGCAGAGAGGAATGTTGAGCTCTAAGATCTTGTTGATTCACGACAACGCCCGGCCCCACACGGCAAATGTCACTCGTAAAGTTCTTGAATCTTTTAAGTGGGAGTTGTTTCCTCATCCGCCGTACAGTCCCGACCTGGCACCGAGCGACTTCCACCTATTCCCAGCAATGAAGAAGTGGCTGGCTATGCAGCGTTTTGATGACGACGCACAGCTGCAAGAAGAGGTAACGAAGTGGTTGAAGGCGCAGGCGGCCGAATTTTTCGACGAAGGAATTTCCAAGCTCGTACATCGCTACGATAAATGCCTTAATTTGTATGGTGACTATGTAGAAAAGTAGTATTTGAGTGTGGCTTTCATCTGTATATAATAAAATTTGTTTCCTATACTTTGTTTACTTTTTTATTCCAAAACGTAATCTACTTTCTGGATAGCCCTCGTATGTTTTGATAAATTTTTACATCTGGGTGTAGAATGTAACTTACTTGTCGACCAGTACCCTCTACCTAAACCCTGGTTGCATCCCTCTTTATCGAGCGTGATGGACAATGCTGTATTGGAATCAAATAGATGTGCCTGATCCTTGGCTGTGGGCAAGAAACAGCTTCCTTTAGGTGAGAAACCACTAGGGCTCAAGTTTGACTTTCCCTCAAAGTGACTACTAAGCTTTAGCTGGTCATAATGGATTGGCCCTACCGGGAGAAAAACTCCCAGCATACTTCACCCACCCTGTTCTGGGATGTCCTCTTGCCACATTGAGGACTCTTGCCACAAAGCAGGACTTTGGGAGGACCTCAGCTTGTTGTTACATTTAAGAGTCTGTCAGTTTGAGGTGATATGCTTCCTTTCCAGAAATCATGAAATTAACTCCTTAGTGGAAATTCCCTTGTTGACAGCTGTGGGGTAATAATCAAGAATCATTGAACAATGTAGTAAAAGTGATTACAGATTTCTGCCATTATGAATTCATTTAATGCTTATTATTAGTTTGCAGCATGTAACTAATTTTAATTCTGAGTTAAAATAACATGCCACGAGGAGTTAAAACAGCAAGAATCAGCATAATAGTCACAAATTTTTTGCAGTACTGCAAATGTATGAATATTAATCTTATTCCAATAATTTTAGCTTGTAAATCCTTGCCACAATAGATAGTTTGTTACATTACCATTGTGTTGTTAGAAGGCATTGAAAAACAGTATCTATGAGACTATAAAGCTGACTTTTTTTTAAAAAGTTTTAAATTGTTGAATGCTTGTTTTGTTTTTAGTGTAAATCATGTCTGAAAATAAAATTAGTGTAATTTTAGCGTAAATTGTGTATTTTTTTAAATAGAAATTTTGATACAGTATATTTAATTACAAAACTTTAAAACTTGTATGTATGTGTTGTATGTTTAACTGATAACCATGTTTTCCTTTTCTTTTCACAGACTGATAGTTTTCATTCAGATGACCAGAAAAATGAAAATAGCACTAATGGGAACATGAAAAAAACTTCCAATTATGATGTTTCAAATCATATTTCATCTATCAAGAAACGGGGTAATTGAGAAATTTTAGACCACTGATCTGCCATGAAATTTCAGACACTTTATTTTTCAGATATGCTTTTGGTTTCATTCTTACTTATGCAAAATCTGTATTTGGTCCATAAGTTGTATATTTTATATTAGTATATTAAACTGAAGCGCTATGTTAATTGCAGTAAAATAAACTTCCATCCATCTGTGTACTTTGGAACGAAGGGTTGTATGAATTAGAGAATATATCTTTCTGAATTTTATTTATATTTTTCCTTTTTAATTTTTATACTAAATTTGGATTATTTGCACATAACTAAACATAACCATTATAACTAAATAAAGGGTAACCAAACATTGAGAATTATTTAACATAAAATTATTCTATTTTTTAAATACAATTATGTTCAAGGAAAATAATGGTTCCATTGATAGGAGGAAAGAATGTAGAAGAGAAAAAGGGATGAATGATAGGGAAATTTTTATGAGAAACGAAAGTAGTGGTGTATTTACTCTCAGTATTTTTAAAATGTGGCATATATGAAATGAAATGCATTTCTGCCTGCAAAATTGTCTTCAGAATTTGTATGCAATTAAGCGTACAAATTAAATTAATATATTGCTTTTAAATATCCTTGTAGCAGGGTCTCCCCTAAAGTAATCCACGTGCTACTCTTGTCGTTATGTACCGCACATATCCAGCTGGATTAATGACACTATTAGTAATTGACAGAATTTTCTAGATTTGAAAATTTAAATTTTCTAAAAGGAAATTTTTTGTCTTTATTATGTTTTCCATGTTTCACTTACGGAGAATTTCTGCAAATGCAAGAGTTTATTCCTAATCACCATCAGTGTAAACAAGTTAACTACAACAGCACAAACAGTGTATTTAAGTTTAAATAAATAAATAAAGTTGTGGACAAATTGTGGTCTTTTGTAAAAAGTTGTGGACATATAAATTCTTAACATACATGAAATGCATATATTCAAAATTGATTTTAAAAAACAGTGAAATATACATGTCTAATTCAAGATTTATCTGAAATGAAAATATTTCAGAGAAATATGATTTCTGTTTATTATAAAAAAGAATTGTGTCATATTATAAAAATAGATTACTGTTGTGTATGCTTCAAACTCTTAAACTATTTGAATCATAAAATGAATTTCCTTCTTTAAAAACACATTTTATAGTGCTGCTTTTTCTCGAAAGTTTATTTGCTCATACACTTGAGGAAAAATTACTGGTAAATTTTCCAGCATACTTAATTTTTAGAATTGTTTTGTTGTTCACATTCTAAAAAGAGCACATAATTCGGGTATTTGCAAATTAAGTGCATGCATTACTGGCAGATTAAGTGGTTGCTGATTATTGGCATCCGACTGAAGTATATAATAGCAATATGTTAAGCCCTTTTAGTTAGTGCTGTCAGGTTTATATAAATGTGTTTTGTTAATGACAAATGACTTCATTTCAATTGGTAAATAACTTGTTAATAAGTAAAATAAAAATTATCCTGTATTTAAATGTAAGAAGTTGATGTAATTATTTAATGCCGAGTCTTAAAATATGTGCCAATATAATGTCTCAAAATAGGAGAGATTTAGTGTAGCATAGTTATTTATTAAATATTGAAACAAATTTTGATATTTTTATTGGAAAATATCAAATTTTAGGTTTCAGATACTTTCATCCATTGCAGAAGCTATTTTGGTAACTTTAAGACACTGAAATTAATTACGTACTTTATTGACAGGAGCATTAATGATGGAAGAATCATGAGTTTTTCCCCTCCTAAGAAATATATTTCCTTGTTCTTTAAAGCAAAATGTTATGTATTTCTTTGTAATATATATTTTAAATGTAGAGCCATGGATTTCTTGAAAGACTACATTAGATTTAAATGGCTGCTAAACGCACAGTACTTTTTGGCACTGTAGTTAAGTACATTGAAGTACTAACATCTCTAACAGTGCGCATTTTGTTAAACATTATTTTGATAGTTATGTGTTTTATCCCTTTCTTTTAAGATTGAGAATAGTGAACAACTTAGAAGAGCAAGTTTTGCAAGATGTTGAAATCTGGAAATTGCTGCTAAACAGTTTGTTCAGAACTTGGTTACATGTATTGATATAATCGTCAGACAGTTCATGGTCATCTCCAGTTGTGCATGTGAAGAAAAAAAATGGTGACTGTCATTTTTTGTGTCGGTTTCAGAAAATTGAACAAGGTAACCAAAATGGATGTCTATCCGTTACCCCACATCACTGATGCTTTGGACTGCCTGATTGGTGCAAAAATGTTTTCTCTGTGATGGATTTGAAGTCAGGCTACTGGCAAATAGAGGTTGATGATAAAGGCAGAAAAAAAGACAGCTTTTGGACTCCAGATGGTCTCTATGAATTTAATGTCATGCCGTTCGGATTATGCAGTGCTGCAGCCACATTTGAACAGATGATGGACATGGTACTAAGAGGCCTCAAATGGAATATTTGCCTTTGTTATCTCAACGACATAATCGTGTAAGCACCTAATTTCAAAGAACACCAAAAGCGTTTGAGGAGAATACTGAAATGTATCCAAAGAACAGGACTGATGCTAAATTCCAAGAAATGTTCATTTGGCAAAAAGAAGCTGACTATACTGGGACACTTAGTTTATCAACATGGGATATATCCCAATCCACAAAAGGTGGTGGCCAGTGTTATTCCTAGGATTTTTTTGGAAGAGTAAAAATAATCCTTGACTTTTTTAGGAGGAGTGAAATACGGAAATAGCATAAACTACATATACAGAGACTAATTTGTATAAAAAAAGATGCTTTTTTAATAGAAAAAAATGAAATAGAAAAAAATGAGGATGCTATTTTGGTTTTTGGCAATTATAGGATATGTTAAGTATTAGTAGAAAAATATTAAACATTATACATAAAATAATTTATTTTACATTAAACGTTCTAAATGAAGTATTTATTTAAGATTTCAAATTTAATATCCTTTTCATCTGATTTACAGTGTTACAGCTGATTTCCTTACAATATCAAAATTCTTTCAAAATTAAAGTTACAAAAACATTTATTCTTGGTTACATTACAATTTTAATCTCTTTCCCCTGATTGCCTTACAATATCACAGTTCTTTCAAAATTAAAGTCACAAAAAACATTTTTCCGTGGTTACATTACAATTCTAATCTCCTTTTCCTCAAGGTTACTGCTCTTTCAAAATTAAAATCACAAAAAACATTTCCCCTTTATTCTTTGAAATCTGAGCCTTTCTCCGATATTCTTGGTAGAATTTTCAGTTGTTTTTCCCCCAATCTGTTTCTACTATTTGAATTGATCCTATTTTGAGTAGAAAATCCTCTTTTACAAACAGCCATTGACAAAGGTATAGTCATAGCTATTTGTGCCAGGGCTGTAGTGCATAAAAACACTCTACTTCAAGGTGCACTTGCTTTAACTCTTCTGTTGAAACACCCAAAACATTATCATAGGCCAGATTCTACTTCGGTTTGTACTTTGTTTAATAGCATTATCTGGGGATTCCAGTCTTGATTCTGTTATAACACAAGATGGATTCAACAAAACATCAAAATCCTGCAAAAGATGCATCTGCTGCAAATTAAATCATTCTTGCAGCTTCTCTATCAGTGCACTCAAAAAATCATGTTTAGCACTCATGAAATCATTTAAAGATTTAGTAGAAACAGATAATTTAATATCTTGGAACTCTATAATACCTATTATCAAGAGCAGACTCTTAAAAATTCCTTTAGATGAATGCCATGACCTTCTTCCTTTTTCATTTCCTGCATGCGATTAATAGTGGATTCTAGACTGTTAACCAACACGACGAGGTCCACATCATTGCTCTGAATCAGTAACACATCTCTCAAAAATGACAAGGTGGCTGCAAATGAAAATTATGAGCATTGTTTAAATAGTTCTGAGCCCTTGTCCATAGGATTGTTTGTTTTTCTGTTTGCAATTATGTCTGTGAGGGCAAGGATCACAGCATCATAATTGATATGACATGCATCAACTGCATTCCCAAGTGACAACTACCAAACAGCATTTGTGTCTTTGAGAGTTATGTTTGGCTCTTTAACACATCTTGCATCAATTTCAGCTTTTCAATCCTAATATTGGACGTGTGAAAATAAGCATACAATGAACCTAAAATTCTCTGACTGCTTTGAAACAGGGATATTCCGTAAGCAGCTTGGGATACAGCTAAAACTAAACGGTGAGCTGTGCAGTGATAGTGCAACAAACCGGGTATCATATCCTGAAATTTTTTGCCAAGTCCGTTGTTCTTTACCATCATAACAGCAGTACCATCTGTTGAAAGGCCAACAACTTTTGATAACGGTACCCCCTTTTTTCTGTTGTTGAGAAACTTTATTACTTTTTCTTTCAATGCATCTGCATTTCATTCACCTGGTAGTTTTAAATTTGCCCAAAGACTGTTCTCACTTTCATTTTTTTAAAAAATATTTGACATATATAATTAATTTATGGTCAACTGAAGTATCTGTTAACTCACCTATCATTAAAGAAATATTAGGGGCTTTGTGAAACATCCTCATCTAAATTTGATTCTAATACTTCTGAAATAGCTTTAATTATGTCTGTAACTGAATTTTGACATAAATTCAAGTGAGTCTCTTTCACAGTCTCATTTCCACAGGATTTTATAAGCATCATTAAAATTTCGTTAAAGGAAGTTCTTCTTTTCCAATAGTATAAACAGTTTTGAACACTGCCAAATTTCCATGTGTTGCTGTAGATTTTTCCTTTTGATGAAAGCCTGTGTTCCATAGTTTTTTAGTGGCGAGACAGAGCACTTCTTTGGAAACATGATGAACCCATCACACCCACGCCATTCTTCATATTGGTAGATTGACATGCTTTACAGAACATTGTATTTTCCTCTTTATTGAAGAGCACCAAAGGAAATTCTTTAAGCCACTTACTTAAAAACTTATCATGTTTAGAAGTAGTTTCTTCTGGTTGTT